TTTATCCAAAAGCAAGTGATGACACTTGCACTCTGTAAAATAATTGTGAAAAGATAGTTTCTTAAGTATTTGCCCAGAATTATAATGATTTATTGGGTTATTACTAAGGAATTTAGGAAAAAATAATTATGCTTGATGTCTATCAACTATTTTAACGCTTTCAACATATAACTTGAATTATCTGAGGCTGATTGTGAATCACTTAAAGTTTTTAATCATGATACCAAATTAAACTATGGAGTCAGAGTTCATAAGGGCTGTACATAACCGCAAATATATTATTTCATTTAAATAGTTATACCATAACTATTTGATTACAATTGCATGGAGAATAAGTACCAAATATATATTCTCTCTAAGATTAAAATATAATAAGTAAATTAATGATTAAAATAATTAATGGTATATAGAGTAGGAAAAAAAGAAGAGAAATTGTTAGTCTTGGAGATTATCATTAATGTATTTGAATTACCTCATTGCTACCATCTCCTTTTTTATTCACTTCACTGGTGAGTTAATATAATCATGAAAGAGCAAGATTGTAAAATATACCAATTTCTTCTTCCACTAAATTATTTATGGTGCAGTAATGTTGATTTTTCATCTTTAATAATTCATTTAAAAAGATATGAAACTAGTTTATTTACTTCAAAGGTTCTTACTTACAGCTACAACATAATCTTAAAGTTCTATTTTAGATTTTTTTTATTAATAAACTTAGTCTTTGGTTATTTTAGGTCCAAAAATATTTTTTATTATTTGGTAATTCTAATTTTATGTTTCTCTAAAATCAAGAATTCGTTTTAAATCTTGTTTTATTTCAGACTAAAATAGCCCATGAAACTAAATCTCAAATTAAAAATGTAATTTCTAATTCTTCTTTTGCTGTTATAGAGCTAACTAAAAGGGATTGCAGGATTGCATATTATATTTTATAAAGAGATTATGAAACTTAAAGTATTACTACAAATAAGGTAAATGAAACAAAAAAGAAGGGGATTAAAATTCACCCAATTAAAAGAAAGATCACAGAATTTGAAGAAGAAATAAAATAACATCACAGAGAACATAGATAATCTGCATCTAAAAAAGAAGGAAGAAGAGTGAAATTAAATTGTAAGGAGAAAGGTTTAAAAATAGTTAAAATATTATATTAAATTCTAAACCTAGAAAAGATTAATAGATCCAAGGAGCAGAATATGAGAGAGATTTACTGAACACTAGACTTGAAGTAATAAAATGATGGTTCATGACGAACGTATTAAAGAGAGGAATTAAATAGGTTACTCAAAATATTTGAAGATTAAGGAGGAAGTGAAAATTTACATGAAAGATAAAAATACAAGAGTTACTAAGATGTTTAAGAAGATTCCAATAAGAATAAAAATATGAATAATTAAATTAGAAGTTCAAAAAATTAGTGAAAGTAATAATTTAATGAATGAGAATTTACAAGGAGGTGTGGATGGAATGCTGAATTGTTTACATAGAATAAAAATTTTGTAATGATTATTATTGATAAGCTCGCAGTAATACTTTAATAATTTGACAGGAGAAATAAATAGTATAGTATTCAGCATTTTTTTATTTACACTCTTTTACTTTTGACCTTTAGTATTCAACTATGATATTTTTTTTACTTTTTAATGATAATCTGTATTTGTAGGTCTGCTTGACACCAAAAAAAGTCTCACAATCTAGAGGGCAACATGTTGAAATTAAGCTCATCTGTTCTTTAACTGGTCTATTTATCAAGTAATAAAAGGTATCAGGAACAATATTTACCACATTATTTAGATTACCTAAAATCTGAGTCATATTAATTGTGGCTCATTTAGCTGAATAGTATTAGTAGATAAATCAACTCTAACTCAGAAGGAATAAGTAGAAAGGTGACGCACATGGATTTCAAAATCACTATACCCAATCAGATAAAATAAATCAAATTTATATATCGTTTAAGCAAAGCTAAACTATAATTTGAGATAAAGGAAATTAAGCATATTTTTTTAAATATTATAATTCTTTCTCTATTTCAACAATTTAGTTTTACATCTCTTATGTTTTTTTTGCCTATTATGAGCTTTAGATGTCCATTTATAGATAAAACTTTCTTTAATAACTTTAGAACTTTTATGTAGAAAGAATCCTTTATGAGATTTTTAATCTGAATTATAATTTTAAATGCCATTTAAATCTATCTGGCAGTTAATTTTTTTTCTTCTCTTTATATTTTAAAGATCCCACCTATATTTCAATATAAGATAATTTCCATCCTGCAAATCCAATTATTATTATCAATAGAATTAAATATAAGAATAAAATCTCTAACAAATTTTATTTAAATCTTTATTCTTTTTTTGAATAGGGGAACTGATTTTCTTTTTCATTTGCTTTTAATTAATGAATTTTTAACTATTTATTGAAAAAGGCTTATAAATTTGAAGTTGTACTTTTATTGAACAAATTAAATTGAGGTTCTATTTATTTTTTTGAAAGATGATAAATTGTTTGGTTTACTGGCCTCTATAGTTGAATTATTAGCTAGTGAATTGTAAATAAAACTGATATATCCTTTTTATACAGCATATATCAGTTTTATATCAGCTGATTTCCTTTCCAATAAAGAAGCAAATGAAGATATGTTTTTTCTGAACTTTTGCAACTTCCATTCTTATTTGATTAGAATGTTTGTGATAAAATTGGTTTCAATAAGCCAGACGGATTAGCGATGAACAATTATAGTTTGTCAAAGCTATTCATTGTACCCATGAGCTTCATAATCAACTTCCTTAATCCATAAAGTATCATCATTAATGCTATTTCAAGCAATTCTAAGTTTCCCTTTGTAAGTGATGATTAGAAATTGTATCACCATCATTAATGAAATATCTCCGTTGACTTCCTTCTTTATTTTCTTAAGAATCTTCCCATCAAAATAAATTACTAAAGAGGCCTTAAATTTATCATTAAAGCTAATCTATCAAAATTTATATTAATATTCTAAACAAATTAATAATAGCATATTATTTAATTTTATATAATTATGTCCTTATTTATCATGATATATCCTTGATTCTCACTGTTGAATTGCTCGTATACACACATGGATACAAATCTTAAGATATATCAATTTCGGTAATCTAATTAAATTTTGATATTTACTAGATAATCTTATGAATTTTGTTTACTCCATTTTATATATTTCTGTTCTATGCTCACTTCTATTATTACTATATCATTAACTTAGAAATTAATTGCCTTTCCTTGAGTATTATTAGAATGATGGAAATATGTAGTAGAAGTTTCTCTTAATAAATATGATCTATTATAATTAAACATATTAATACCCTTTTCCTTAACCTTCACCTCTGTATCCATGTTATTTAATCATTTCTCTAAATCCAATTCCAACTTCACACCAATGATCTATTCTAAGTATTTCGAATGCAAAGAGTATTTTACCAGTCTTAGGAATTACTTGTTCACACATACAATAACCCCATACACCATCACCATTATCAACAATCTTTCCATTATTACTTATCAAAATATCATTATGTTTATAATAAAAAGAAAATGTTAAATTAAGATACATTTAGTTATAAAGGTTGTTAGTATAATTTAATGATGATACCTTTAATTAGTCATTACTTTTTAATAGATTTTCAGTTTAAAATTCCTCAATATTCGAAATCTAGTCCATTTAAATATTTGAAAGTATTTAAATACATTTACTAAATTCTGCAAAATCCTTAAACTATTATAATTTTGAATTAAATTGGGACTTCTATGATTAATTAATTTATAAAATATTATTAATGATAGGATTCATTTAGAGATTTTTTGGGTCCTTTATTAATTTATCTAATTCTTCAAAGAAACTATATTTGTATTTGTTTAATGATGATTCTATTATTTAAATATTCTGAATCCAATTATTTACAATATTAATTAATTAATCTAGTTATTAATTAATATTTTATTTCAATTGATTGATCGTACTCAACAATGATTCGATTTACTTTACATTTATTTTAATTGTATCTTCAATATTATTGAGTTTCTTCTTGTATTCATCCTCAATAATCTAAATGATATTTTAAAATTCCATTGTTTTAGCTGTCGTTTCATTAAACTCTAAGCATTAATTACATAAGAGCCTCTAATTGTTTGGTAATTTTGGATCAAGAACTACCGTAAGAATTGGCTAATTGTGTTAATAAGCACAATTAAATTATTTTTAATTTTCTATCATTGTTAATTAATTCATTAATTTAATTAATAAAAGATAATTTATTTGTGCTTTATAAATACCAAAATTTACATACAAACTTAAACTTAAATTATATGGCAAGGAATATTAGTAACTCACATTTTCTATTAGCAGTTAAGAATTGCAGATATTGGGTTACCTCAGATATTATCTAAATTAATTTATTATGATGACTGATCTATCTATCAATTTGGATGATCCAATTTTATTGAAATAGTTATAAAATAGTTTATAGCAATTGCAAATTAAAATACTTCATTTTGTAATGCAAATAAAAATACTTCATTTTGTAATAAAAAGGAAGCTCTCTTACATTTTTAGCCCTTTATGAATTAAGTTCTTAAGTCCAAAGAAGATCATGTTTATAATTTGATTTAAATTATCTTGTTGTTTTTTTGCTTGGTCAATGTTCTCTTGTAATAAAAGAGTTCTTGTTTACGTTATCAAACTTTGAGCACCTTTACACTCCTCTATGTTATGCCTCATAAATAAAAAATATCAAAGATCTGCATTGAATTTTTCATTCATTAAAAAGAAATTCTTCTAAAATTCAATTCACTATTTGGTATTTGAACAAACAGAACTAAAAACTAAAATTTGTATCTTAACCATGCAATTCTAACCTACGTATGTTTGATCACTATAGGAGTTGAAAAGTGTAAATCAAAAATTCTCAAATCCCTTTTCAAATTTCCACACACACTAAGGCTTTATTTATTGTTTCTATCGAATTATTCTCTTTATCATTTATATTTTACCATCCCCTATGATTTATCCTTCATTCTAATGATAATATTATTTGGTTTTTCTTGGCTTTTATAGTTAATTCAAATATAATAGCATTTTTCCTTTTTCTCTTATTACATAATAAGGGGACATTCTAAAAGTATTTTAAAAGACAGTGAATTTCCTAAGAAGTTCGACCCATTACGGCTATAAATTTCCAAAAACTGCAATTCCAGAATCAATATGTTTTATAAAAATTTTTACCGCCACTGTTGATTTTAAAACAATAAAAGTGATAAACTTTAAGTACCAAAAAACCAGATACGTTTAGAGCTTAACAAATTTTTATTTAATAATTTTCTAAATCTTAGATTGTTTTAGCTTTTTAATTACACTCATTAGCAAACTTTCCCTTTAATTATTCTTATTCTAATTATAATTTTGAATTTTCATCGCACTTCTTTTTTATATCTGAGTTTAAGCTTAAAATTTAATTGTTTAAATCTTTTGTTTCACCTAATTAGTATTTTTTAAATTCCTCCATCTCTAATTAACAAGTTCGTATTTCTAAAATAAATTTTTCTAATTCTATTTTTTTTTCGTTTAATTTGCAGTTAAATAGTTCATTAATTTATTTTATTTCTAATTCTAATTTAATGATTTTTTAGGAAAACTAATTATTTCTATCATTTAACTCTTTTATTTAAATTAATAACTATTATTTCTGTTGAGTTGCTTAATCTAATTATTATTCATTTTCTTCAGCCATTATTAATTTCTTCGTTCTAATAAAATTATGCTCAAATAGTTTAAATAAATTTTTAACTTAAGATTTTTCTTGGTATACTTCCATAATCTATTGTAATTGGCCATTTTTTTATAATGTCTCATATATTTTTTAAAGCACTTTAAATGATTCAACAGACTCGTTGAAAATAGTTAGATATATTTCCTACATTTAACTTTTTTATATAAATTCATGTAATTCAGAATCTAAGGCGTTTTTATTATCATCTATTATTTAATTAACTAATAATGTTGTTATAAAATACTTATTTACTGCTATTTATTTAAGTTTTTGTTTATTTAATATTTACATAACAAATCTTCTTTCATTAAATTTTCCAATTTAGTCTTTAAATTTGAATAAAACAAAAGATCTTACTAATCATTTTTTTCTTATTGCTCTATAATATGTTAATTTAACCTTTTAGAACTTAATAATTTGATTATCTATTATAGTTGCTTTTCGTCCATTTAAAATAAATCGGTATTGCTGAATTTATTAGTTGAAAAGATATCATCATTGCTATTATCTAGCTATTTATCCAATGAAATAATTATTTCATTAAGAGTTTAATTGTAGGTATCTTTTAATTTCTTAATGATCTATACAGCATTATTATATTGGTTTTTTCTTTTTAAATTATATTGATGAATTAAATCTTCTTATTATCCTTTTTATAAAATCCATCTCTTATTTGCTTCTTCTAATGTTATATATTGTAGAGGAAATTCTTGGACACAATCAAGGCAAGCAAACTGACTTAATTCTTAATCCTCTTGATTAAGATTTACCATCACGATCTTTTTACTATGCTTATTGCATTTTTAATACAAAAAAGAAGCTTTCTATAATATTTTGAGATAATACTTGTTAATCAAATTCTCTCTAAGTAATTTTATTTACTTATGATTCTTCTTATTTTTTATTTTTTTATTTAATACATTCTAATGACTCTATAATCTAGGTATACTGTGAAGAATTCTATATCGAATTTAAAATTTAATTCAGAGAATCTACAAACTTGATATCGTTTTCTAAACTCGATTATTATACAGGTATAATATAATTGAAATTACCTTTATAATTATTTGATAGAATTTCAACATCTTCTTCCAAATTCTTTATTTCTGGTTTAAACTCCTTTAAATCAACTTCTTTTTCAATCTGATTTATCTATTAGTCAATATTATTTAACATTTTAGATAAAACACTTTTCATTAATCCTTTGAATTCTAATACCTTTATATTTAGCATCCATAAATATTCTCTATCTTCAGTTTAATTTCTATAACTTAGATCTTACTTAAATATAAAAAACATCATCAAATGGTTCTATGATTTATTAAATGGAATTATTTCTTAATTAGATTTATTCTCTATTTGATCTTGTACCTTTTTTTATCTTTCTAGGAAAACTTCCATCAGTTGAATTCTTTATTTGCAAGCCATTTATTTCTAAAATCATTAATACAATATATAAATTACCTTAATTCTATTTGATTTGGTCCATCATATAGAGTTTTTTAAGATTCATCTCTAAAATTGAAATTTAATATGCATGGTTTAATTAATTCCTTTGGATATATCTTTAAGCCAAATGATACAACAAATTCATCTAATCCTATATCTATTTTGCTTAAAATTTCAAATTTATCTTCCTCGATCTATCTTTTACTCAAAATAATAAAATGAAAAATATCACCTTCTGGTAATATTAGACAAGAACATATTAAATCATCATCATAAGAATAAATTGATTTTTATTCATATTAATTCATAGCAACTTTATGTATGATTTGATAATTCTTAAATATTTCTGTCTTCAAACTTATATGTCTTGTATAACTTATTGAAACTTTATTAGGTTAATGAAACCAGATTTGTTAACATTTCTTTTAGCATTTAAATTACTATTGTAATGTTTAAATAGAGTCTGTAATGATTCTTAAATTAAATTTTAAATATAATAATCGAATGGAAAAACATAATACCTATGAGACCAAAATTAACACTTAAAATATTTATATAGCCTTTCATTCAATTTGCTGTTGATTCTTCAGTTAAACTTATAACATTTATTTATCTAATACTTAAAGTCTCATTAAAAGGAAGAACAACAATAATTTCTGAATCTGAATCAGATTATACATAATGATCCTAAAAATATATATAATATTCAATATTTATTAAAATATAAACTATGAGATCAAAAAACCATAAAAAGGGTTTAATTTCATATGCAAAAGTACCAAGACCAGGATAAAATGAATCATTACCAGCTACTTTTAATCAAATATAATTTTTTTGAACAAATTTCATTTTATAAATTTATAAAATATTTATTAGAAATATACAATCTTTAATATGTATCAATGAAGAAAGTAGATATCCAATATAAAAATACAGTAATTCATGTGCCACTTTATTCAATCCAAAATCCTCAAAGAGATTTAATAATGATTATTATAAGAATGAATAATTCTCCTATATTCTTTTAACTATCATATAAAAGGAAGTGTTGATGAGTAAAGAAATATATATTGATTAATAAATAAATAAAAAAAATAAAATAAAATATATCAGAAATCATTTGTCCCTCTCTCTTAGTCCACTGATTATATATTGATTTTAAATTATACTAAATAAATAAATGAGTTCTAAAGTTCCAAATGTATAGTTAATTAATCAATGCAATGAAATATCCTCAATAAAAGGGAATTGTATATTATCAAATATATCTTAGTAGAATTTAAGTCAATGTCATCAAATAATACACATTTTGGTACTTTGACTAATGATAATGAAGTAATATTTGAGTGGAAGAATGAAATGAATTAATAAATTGGCTTATCTGTGTCATTTGATTCAGCGTTAAATTGTTATAATATCCTTTTGCCTCAAGATTTTTCTATTATTATAGATTGCTATTATAATAATGAATTCTTATTAATTCAACTTTCTGATGAATTATCAAAAATTGCTTATTCAATAGAATCTATTCAACCTACTTAAACTAAAATAAAATCAATTATAAAAGGAACAAATGCTTTTATTTATATGCCTAATATGATACGAATTATTCAATACTTTCACTATTTTCATCAGCTTTTGTAATTAAAGTAGTTTAAATAATTAATTTGTCGATTTCGATGTCACTATTGCAATAAGCCCTAATATTTATGTGATAACATCTATTAGATGTTCTAATTATCTATATCTCCAGATGCTCAAATTTATTAAAAAACTAATTTAACCTATTCAGATTCATATTCTTTTAGAACTGTTAATGTTTATTATAATTATTGGAGTTATTCTTAAGTTGATTCAATTTCTTAATAATATATATTTCAAGACGATGGTAGAATATCTTTTCTAAGGATTTGATAATTAAATAATATAATTTAATGATTATGATACTATAACAACCTTTCAAAATATTGTCTAAAATAATCAATTTATAATTCTTTAGTTTACTGATACAATTTTAATTAATAAAATGCGCTTAGGAATTATGAATACCGGTTTAATAAGACAAGTAATTCTTTATTATATTTTAATTCTCATAACTATATTAATGTATTTTATTATATTTATTTTTGATTAAGATATCATTATTTATAGCATTTAATTTATATCATTAGAAGTTAA